TGTCAGCACCAGCACTGCTGGGCTGTGGTGCTGCAAGGACAGGGGTGCTCCCACAGCATTCAAGRCAGCTCACTCAAAGCACAGCAGCTCCTGAGCTATTGCTGGGGTGCATTTGTTATCACAGGGATTRGACAGGAGCTATCAAAGCTTACAGAGGAGTGGGATCACCTTYTTGAGCAAACAGGCATTTGAACTGGGCAGAAACCTGGCTCCAATCACATCAGGAATTTGCAACACCCCTTTCTAAGTCAGGACTCACTCCAGTGCTGTTTGATCTCAGAGCTGCTTTATCTTTTCTGGCTACAAACTCTCCAGTGATCCCAGCTGCCACWCACCATCCTGACAGACACTCACACCAAAATACAGTTCTACACAATTCATATAAACTACAGATGCAGAACATTTACCTCTTTTAAAGTCAAGCAGGAACCAGCGATAGCAGAAGTAAAAATGAGTGTAATCTCCATTCTGGTGCATCAATTCAAAAAGCTCTGAGTCCAGAATCTAGAATGGAAAAAATTATCTGTCAGGTCTGAAAGCAGCCATGGTCAGAGGTGCTGAACTCCCACTCTGCTCCTCATGCCATGGTCAGAGCAGCTGCTCAGCACAGGGACAGCCTTTTCCTGTGTGTGCCCTGCCCCAGTGCTGAGCCACAGCCTTTTCTTCTTTCAGACCCYCAAACAGACTCACCTGGATGAGGGACCTCATGTTGGCAAAGTGTGTGTCCATGGCACCTCCGTTGGGGAAGTTCTGGCTCATYCTCTTCATCAGGTGGCTGAAGCAGCTGTAGGCCAGCTGATCTGCAAGGACAGGGAGAAATCATGGGATTCCTTGAACCATAATAATGGAACTGCAGGGTCTTTCCTTTTGCTGTTCTCTTAATCCCACGATTTAGATGAAAGAGAGGTTGGTACCTGACTCTGGACCATTTTTACTGGTTATATTCCAAAGAATCCCACTGCAGTTGACTTTCCAGTTTCAGCAACTTCCAGAAGACAGTAATTTTACCAATTTTATCCTGGAAGTCAGTGAGTGAACAGGGCAGCCCTGAGACACTAATGTTAGCCATCTCAACAACAGCCACAGGTAGAGAAAACACGAATCAGGAGCTGCAGGTTTGATTTTGCTGGTGACCCAGCCCTGGTTAATACAGACAAYTCCTTCTGAAACAGCATTTCTAAGGAAAGACCTCACAAAGGATACCAGCATGGCCCAAAGGAAAATCCTTCCTACCATTGTCCAGAATAACCATCAAAGGAGCCAGGAGGTCACACATCCCTTGGACATAACCAACTTCTAGGTGCTCCCAGACATAGCTGTGGAAAGAAGAAATCCTTGTATTGAAGGCCAATTCCATATGTGAGATCAAATCCTAAGCAGCTGCTGAACGTGTGAGTCTCAGAGCCTTCTGACATTTCCTGGAGTATTTCACAACCCTTCACTGTTTGCTTCCTRGATAAAGAGGCCAACCCTCACACACATGGCTTGCATCTCAGTGGTTTGGAAAAAAACAGCTGACAAAGGCCCAAAATGGAAAAAAAAWTTAGTTTGTTAAAGGTACCTGGGATGTGGCTTTTGTTTTCTGCCCTAAGTGGAATTTTGCTCTCTTTTCTGAGTGTTAAAGTCAATGACACTTCCTGCTTTAAGGGTAGCTGAACCACCTTGGTGGCAATTTGTTTTCCCAGCTGGAAAAAGAACATTCTGTTGTTTCCAGCTGCTGTCAGTGGTCAGACTCTGGCTTGATTTGCTTTGCATTTGTAGATACAGACTTTGTGTCCACTTACACAGATCCCTCAGCACTGCACCTGGGCACAGGTAGTGTCACCTTTACAGCACATCCTCAGAGCATGGATSTATCACACTCATCAGGAGAAACACAAACCTCAGACTACAKTCAKAAAACAGCTCTCTAAAATAGGATCWGTCTCTTGAGAGAATCTTCTCAGGTCTGCATTCCAAACTTGGACCCATGCTCTAACCTGCCCTCCTGCCTGTTCCTCCTTCTGGACTTTCTGCCAAGTTTTTAAAAATTCATTAGTGAGAATTCTTAATGATTGTTATTTCTGTATTATTATAGTTCATAGATTAGATTATGGATTGTAACAGAAATGTGAAAGTAGTTGGGTTTACAAGCTCATTACCTGCACATGACATTTCGGAGCTTCTCCAGGTTCTCAGCAGTAAAATACCAGTAATTCCGGTCACATCTCTGGACATCTTTATCAATTCTGTGCAAATTTAAGGCAACAGTGTCCAATAACTCTATCTAGAAGAGAGAAGTTTTAATTAGATCAGCCAAGTTTACAGCATTCCCAGAACTCTGTACAGATTTGCTCTGAGAATCACCAAACCAGAAACACTACACTTTTACTTTAAGCTGATGAGGGCATCAAAATACTCAATTATGGTCAAAAATGTGAGGTAAAACACATTTGTTTACACTGGGAAATGTGCCAAGCTTGTCCTATTATTTCCAAATGGTTAATTCCAGCTAAATAACTTCAGCAGCAAGAAGCAAAAATTATGCTGCTAATCTGAGAGCAAACAGTAACAGAGGTGGTGGCATCTTGAAGATCTTAGCAGATTTAAGTTGTGGTTCAGTTTGATTAGATGGGGGTTTTAGCTTGACTTAAATAACACTAGAATTTACGAATAATGTGTTGTCCACACCACAGGCCCTGGAGGGTTCTAACTGCTAGAAATGTACCACATTGCTTATCTTGCCCTCCTACTAAAAAACCCAAATTTTTCTTGCTGCCTTATTTCCAATCTATCTCAAAATCCAGATGAAAAGATTTGGATGCAAAAATCCTCAGTTATCATTCCACCAGCTGTAGTTCTAGCTTGGGACTGTCTCTCATTAAATCCTATCTGAAAAAGTACAAGTGCTTGTTAAAAAAAACAATGCTGTGCAAAGAGATGATGGTACTTCAGTTGTGACCTACTGTGTAGGACGCAGCGCAGACAGAAGCAACATCCATTAAATAATCCACCTGGGAGCAGAGCTGCTCTTCTGAGACAGAGTCCTGAGACTGCAGCACCCCTGGSCGGGCTCTCTGCACGTGGGGTGTGCCTGCTTCAGTCCTCCCCACCTCAGTGCTGCTTTCTTCCTCAGCCCCATCCTCAAAGGAGCCGCTGTGGCCGTCGTCAATGCTGGACAGGATGCCYGAGGCCACTGAGTAATTCCTGGAGGATGGCAGCCCCGAGTCGGGTGAATCAAACTCCACAGCCACTGGGGCCAGCACTGCTGTCAGCGTGGGGTCCTCCTGCCCTTTGGGCTCCTGYTCTGCTGACTCTGTTTCATCTACAGATATGAACACCTGGGACATGCAAAACCAAACATATGCTTTAATAGCAGTGATCATTTCTCTGTACTGGATCTAAAGGACCTATAAGGGATAGATCTGGAGAGCCATTCCCCTGTAAGAGGGGATCTCCCTTAGCAGGTGAACCTGAGAGCCCCTTAGGCACACCCTGCTTAAGAACAAACATAAACCACCCAAAATTCAGATCTACTCTTCATTGTCATGGTGAACCTGAGAGCCCCTTAGGCACACCCTGCTTAGGAACAGGTACAAACCACCCAAAATTCAGACCTACTCTTCACTGTCACGGTGAACCTGAGAGCCCCTTAGGCTCACCCTGCTTAAGAACAAACATAAACCACCCAAAATTCAGACCTACTCTTCACTGTCATGGTGAACCTGAGAGCCCCTTAGGCTCACCCTGCTTAAGAATAAGCATAAACCACCCAAAATTCAGACCTGCTCTTCACTGTCACAGTGAACCTGAGAGCCCCTTAGGCTCTCCCTGCTTAAGAACAGGTACAAACCACCCAAAATTCAGACCTACTCTTTCCCATCACGGTGAACCTGAGAGCCCCTTAGGCTCATCCTGCTTAAGAACAGATAAACCACCCAAAATTCAGACCTACTCTTCCCTGTCACGGTGACCCTGAGAGTCCCTTAGGCTCACCCTGCTTAAGAACAGGTACAAACCACCCAAAATTCAGACCTACTCTTTCCCATCACGGTGAACTTGAGAGCCCCTTAGGCTCACCCTGCTTAAGAACAGATAAACCACCCAAAATTCAGACCCACTCTTCACTGTCATGGTGAACCTGAGAGCCCCTTAGGCTCACCCTGCTTAAGAACAAACAAACCACCCAAAATTCAGATCTACTCTTCATTGTCATGGTGAACCTGAGAGCCCCTTAGGCACACCCTCCTTAAGAACAGATAAACCACCCAAAATTCAGACCTGCTCTTCACTGTCACAGTGAACCTGAGAGCCCCTTAGGCTCACCCTGCTTAAGAACAAACATAAACCACCCAAAATTCAGACCTACTCTTCAGTGTCACAGTGAACCTGAGAGCCCCTTAGGCTCACCCTGCTTAAGAACAAACATAAACCACCCAAAATTCAGACCTACTCTTCCCTGTCACGGTGAACCTGAGAGAACAAACATAAACCACCCAAAATTCAGACCCACTCTTCACTGTCACCGTGAAC